AAATTGTCTGTCTAAGAATGCCGTAGATTGTCTGAAAATGTTGAAAATGATTTTAGATAGTCTTCAAATGATTAAAATTATCTGAAAACATTTTTGTGGCACAGCATTTTGAGTTCATCACTGTTATCATTATGAATGGTAAAATAAAATCTTTCACAAATTCTTTTGTTAAAAAAATCTATAATGTGTTTTAAAGTCTTTATGTGTCCTGTAAGCATGGTTTTAAATGGTCTGGGACTGTTTTAATTACTTTTATGCTGTTGTAATCATTTCTTTAAATTGTGACCTGATTCTCCGATATAAATAAAATTGCAATCGAGGCAGTTAATTTTACAGACCAAATTACTAAGGCGTTGAATGTTGAAAGAAGTTTTTAATTTATGTAGTTATTAATTTATTATTAGTGTTAGTTGTTGTGCTAAAGTTGTTTATAATATCAGAGTCCTGTTTCGTATTTTAGTTTTTTTTTTAAGGAAAAACAACTTTTTTGGTAACATTTTTCTTTGCAAAAAACTATTTCCTAAAAAAAAAACTATTTTATAAATCAGGACTCCGACTAGTTGTCGATTGTTTGAAATTGTTTTAGGTTGTGTGAAAACTTTGCAGACTCTCAGAAAATGCAGATTGTAAATTATCTGAAAATGTTGTAAATTATCTGAAAAAGTTTTAGATCGTCTGAGAATGTTGCAGATTGAAAATGTTATGAAATCTCTGAAAATGTTGTAGATTGCTTGATAATTGCTATATATTGTCTTAAAATGATTAAAATTGTGTGAAAATATTATGAAATTGTCTGAAAATATTGCAATTAGTCTGCAAACAATTGTAGATTTTCTGAAAATGTTGTGAATATCTGAAAACGTTGTAGATCGTCTGAGAATGTTGTAGATTGACTGAAAATGTAAATTGCCTTAAAATGTTGTAAATTGTATGAAGTTAATGTAGATTGTCTGAAAATTTTATGGAATCTTTGAAAATGTTAAAAATTGCCAGATGATCGTTGTATATTTTCCTAAGATGATTAAATTTGCCAGAAAATATTGTGAGATTGTCTGAAAAATTAGTCTGCAAACATTGTAGATTGTCTGAAAATGTTGTAGATTGTCTGAAAATATTGCAGATAGTCTAAAAATGTTGCAGATAGTCTGAGAATGTTGCAGACTGTCTGAAAATGTTGCCTTAGAATGTTGTAAATTGTATGACAGTACAGTAGATTGTCTGAAAATGTTGTAAATTATGTGAAAATACTGTAGATTGTCTGAAAATGATCCAGAATGTCTGAAAATAGAGATTGCCTAAAGTCATTAAAATGATCAAAATTGTCTGAAAATGGTGTAAATTGTCTGAAAAAGTTGTAAATTGTGTGAAAATACTGTAGGTTGGCTGAAAACATTGTATAGTGTCAAAAAATGTTACAGAATATCTGAAAATATTTTAGATAGTCTTAGAATGATTAAAATTGTCTGAATTAAACGGAAATAAACATTAAACATTGTAGATTGTGTGAGAATGTAGTAGATTGTCTGAAACGTTGAAAATTGTCTTAAAATGGCCAAAATTGTCTGAAAATATTTTTTGTAAATTGTCAGAAAACATTGTAAATTGTCTGAAAATCTTGCAGATTGTCTGAAAACATTGTATATTGTCTGAAAATGTCAAATTGTTTGAAAATACTGTAGGTCGTCTGAAAACATTGTATATTGTCTGAAAATGTTACAGATTGTCTGAAAATATTATAGATTGTCTGAGAACGTTGCAGATTATCTGAAAATTTTGTAAATTGTGTAAAAATAATCTGCATTCTCCAAAACTGCTTTTTTTCAAGGCAAAATAAATTTTGTACTACCAATCGATTTTTGCAGCTACCATGAGACACTTTAAAACTCCTTCTGTTTCCATTTAAAAATAATGTATAGCAATTGTAGTTGTACGTACAAAAAAACCTCCATATCAGTGTCCATTTGAAGAAAATAAATAAAAAAAATGACTCAAACCCAAAACAACATAATTTTGAAAATCTAATAACAGTAAAATTTTTCACTAATTAGGCAAAAAAAACGCAAAACAAAATGACGCAAAGTGAGTTACCTTTAATAGGAATTATCTCTAGACTCGTAAAACTTAATAAAGCTATGTATTTTGTGGATGCTAGTGAAATTTAATTAGAATTAAATTTACCTTAATAAAGTATAAAAAATATAAAAATTACTTCACAAACTTGAACTACCAAAAAGTTGTATTGAATCACCATCAACAACTTTTTCTATCACAAGAAAAATTTTTAAATTTCCTTTACCCTGTTGGATTATTAAAACGAAAGCTGGCACCAAAAGTCTTACTCCCCCAATCCTTAGCTTAAAATTAAATTATAACAATTAGAAACCCTTATATAAACGTTTTGGAAAGACTAACCTGAATATGATTTAATCTGTAATGAATAAAGTACAAAAAAAAAAAGGAAACTGATGTAAAACCAGTTTTCGGACACTTACCTGGTAGGTGGGTCTCTTACTAAAGTTAATTTGAAGGTTCCAGGCAAATCGGCAAAGAAGAAAAAGAAGTGGTGCTGGAGTATCTACAGGAGGACAACAACAGAGACGAAGGAGATTCTTAGTGGTGACGTGTTTTGCTGCGACTTCTATGGCGCTCTCGATGGGATGAACCTGAGGTAAAAGAAATAAATTAATAATAGTATTAATAGTATATTAAATTATTGATAAATTAAACTAGATGTATTGCACTCCTCAAGACCTTTGAAACAATACCCCACATGTCATAAAAACACAGTCTAAAATTTTTTGAAGTAAAACTTCTTTAGATTTATTTATTAAAATTCATAAAAAATACAATAAACTTATAAATGATAAGTCTATTACGTTTTAATTTATAAAATCGTATTCTACTCTTCAAGATCTTTGAAACGATACCCCACATGCCCTGAAAGCAAATTCTAAATATTTTGAAGTAAAACTTCTTTAGATTCCTTTACTAAAATTCATAAAAAATGCAATAAATGTATATATATATATGATAAGATATATTACATTTTAGTTTATAAAATCGTATGTTACTCTTCAAGACCTTTCAAATGATACCCCACAAGCTATAAAAACACAATCAAAACTATTTGAAGTAAAACTTCTTTAGGCTCGCTTAGTAAAAATGCTACGAAAATGCAAAATTTTAACAAATTAGGTGTTTTATACAAAGGTTTAGGTAAAACTTGAGACTTACTTCGTTCAGACTTGTAATCTCTCCGACTCCTGTCTCTCTCTCTCTCATAGTCATCCCGCTTCTCACGATTATTCCTTTTCTTGTCATCTCTATCAGACCTAAATAATAAACACAATAAAATTAATCCCAAAACAAGGCTCCAACTAAAACACTAATAATATAAAAAATTAACATATATTAATAACATTATTATTATAAATTATCACCTGTCTCTTTTCCTATCATCTCTCTCCTTCTCTCTAGACCTCTCCTTTTCCTTTCGCCTTCTTGTGTCCTTTTCTTCGTCTCGTTTCTTCTCTCTCTTCTTTCTCTCTTAAAGACTCTCGCTCCTTTTTACGCTCCTCAGTCAATTCTTCAACAGCTTCACGAAGGCGAGCATACCTAAATAATAAATAATAATAATAATAGTAATAATAATAAATGCATACATCATACATACATAGAAGTGAAGCTTCTTTAGACTCAAATTTAAAAATTAAAAATAGAGTGACATTTTCACACCAAATGGAAATTTAACACATATTTCACATTCGTTTCTTCAAGACCTTACAATTCTAAATTTTTTGAAGTACAACTTCTTTAGATTCGTTCACTAAAAGTCATAAAAGTATAAATGATAATGCCTATTATAACATTTTAATTCATAAAATTGAATTCTACTCTTCAAGGCCTTTCAAATGGTACCCCACATGCCCTAAAAACACATTCTAAATTTTTGAAGTAAAACTTCTTTAGATTCGTTCACTAAAATTCATAAAAGTACAAATGATAACGCTTATTATAATATTTTAATTTATAAGATTGAATTCTACTCTTCAAGGCCTTTTAAATGATATCCTACATGCCGTAAAAGCACATTCTAAATATTTTGAAGTAAAACTTCTTTAGATTCGTTTACTAAAATTCATAAAAAAAATAATAAACTTAAAAATAATAAGATCTATTATGTTTTTATTTCTAAAATCGTATTCTACTCTTCAAGACCTCTAAAACAATACGCTACATGCCATGAAAGCACATTCTAAATTTTATTAAGTAAAACTTCTTTAGATTCGTTTACAAAAATTTATAAAAAATGCAATAAATAATATCTATTATCACGTTTTTATGTATAAAATCGTATTCTACTCTTCAAGACATTTTAAATGATACCCCAAATGCCATGAAAGCACATTCTTAACTTTTTGAAGTGAAACTTCTTTAGATTTGTTTACTAAAATTCATAAAAAATGCAATAAATAATATCTATTATCACGTTTTTATATATAGAATCGTATTCTACTCTTCAAGACCTTTTAAATGATACGCCACATGCCATAAAAGCACATTCTTAACTTTTTAAAGTAAAACTTCTTTAGACTCGTTTACTAACATTCATGAAAGATGCAATAAAAAATATCTATTATCACGTTTCTAATTAATAAATTGAATTCTACTCTTCAAGGCCTTTTAAATGATACCCCACATGCCCTAAAAACACATTCTATATTTTTTGAAGTAAAACTTCTTTAGATTCGATTAATAACATTCATGAAAGATGCAATAAATAATATCTATTATCACGTTTTTATATATAAAATCGTATTCTACTCTTCAAGACCTTTCAAATGATACCCCACATGCCCTAAAAGCACATTCTTAACTTTTTGAAGTAAAACTTTTTCAGATTTGTTTACTAAAATTCATAAAAAAACCAATAAATAATATTTATTATCACGTTTTTATATATAGAATCGTATTCTACTCTTCAAGACCTTTTATATGATGCCCTAAAAGCAAATTCTAAATTGTTTTGAAGTAAAACTTCTTTAAACTTTTCAACAAAAAATTCACTAAAAGTGTATAAACACGTATATACATCTTATTAATAAGCCTATAAAGGGTGATGTTCTTAATATAGCTCTGTACGGATTAGAGACATGATTTCTCTATTTACCCCAAATGTTGTTTTCCCATTAAGTGGTCATCGATCCTCTGCTGGGCATCTCCGACAATCAAAAAGGCCCCACAAATAGTGCACACTTCCATTTGTTTTTCTTGTGCAGCCGCTAACTCTGCTGTCATACTCCAATGGCTAAAAAATAAGAATGAAGATATAATTAAAGATTTTATGAAACAAATAAATTAGAAGAAAGCACTAACAGACGAGTTATAAGTAAATAAACAAAAGTAAAATGCAATATTAAAACTTAAGAGGTCCTCATAAATACAATACTTTTGCTTGATATCAGGTTGCCTGAGGTAAGTAACAAACCTGAAACTTTTATAGTTATATGTAATTATTCAACGACCCGAAAGACCTTATTTAACTATATAATCAAAGAAGAAGTGATAACACTACAGCTTGATACAGTGCTGTCCAAGATAGAATGTGAATCTGCAACCTTGTGTGTGTTATTTTAAAAAATATTCCCATGGCAACCAAACATGCATGATAACTTTCAGAAAAATAAATAACTTTCTAGAAAAATAATAAGAATAAATAAATTTAGAAAAAAAAATAACTTTTTGAGTAGTGAATAAATTTAGAAAATCAAAAACATATTAAAAGTGATATATAATATATAGATAATAATAATAATAATAAGCAATTTTGAAAAAACAATAATAACTAGCTGTAAGTGGAATTCTGTCTTAAGGCAATTAAGGCATCGTGCCTTAAGGCAAATTGCTGGAACTTCCCGTACCAAATATCATTATTTTTTTTAAAAACGAATAGAATTTTTGAAAAAAAAATTACTTCGAAAAAATTGGATTTTTGAGAAACTAGGAATTTGACAAAAAATTACTTTTTTTGAAAAAAAATTTTTTTTTTTGAAAACAAAATTTTTTTGAAAAAAAAAAATGTTTTTTTCATTTTGACATACTTTGGAAATTCTGAACTGTTTTTCAAAGCAATCGTACTGCTTTATCTGCATAGAGACAAAATGTCAAAGCGCGCAACTGCCGCGCCGCCGTCTAACGGATAAGCATTGGTACGGAACCCATGAAAATGTAAAAAAAAATTATACTTATTGTTAAAATCTTTATAAAAGATCTGATAATTTGATGTGCATATGTCTAATGATCATTTTTGACCGCCAAATGGCATTTTTTTTTACTTTTTTCATTAGATCTCCGAAACCGCTAGACCTGCGTTCATGAAAATTTGATCAATTCTTCACCTTGTCAATACAAGTAAAATGTTTTTAGAATTATTAAAATCGGACGCTCCGTTCTTTTAAAAACTGAGTTACCGTTTTCGGCACTTTTTGCCCCGTATCTTTGGAACGGCTGGACCTGCCTTCGCCAAAAACTAATCAGCACGTCTCCTTATCAATACGAATCGAATGCTTTTTGAATTATTCAAATCGGTTGATCCGTGTTCCCGAAATCGTCGACGAAAATTTGTATCCGCACATACATACACACACGCACATACATACATACATACACACACACACACACACACACACACACACACACATACATCCATTTTTTCTAAGGTATGCCAAAATGTTCAGAAACCTCTGAAACGTAAAGATATATAAAAATTTTCATTTTCGATTTTTTTGCGATTACTATAACTTACCCTACGGGAAGTTAAATATAGTTTTAAAGAACTAAAAATGATATACATTTTTGAAAAAACGATAAAAAAATTAAAAAAAATTAATAGATAATAATATAACTGAATAATATAAAAAAAAAATCACAAAAATAATAACGATATATCTTTTTGTAATAATAATAAATTATAGTAATATAGTAATAAAAAAAATAGGGAAATAAAAATAATATAAGTTTTTGAAAATGTAAAATGAATAAACAATTTTAGAAAAATAGTAACAAACAACGTTTTAGGTATTAATAAATAAATTTAGAAAAATAAGATAATATAAATTTTAGAAGAAAAAATTATGAAAATAATATGCAATTTTGAAAAAAATAGTGATAAATAACTTTTTAGATAAATATAGTTTTAGAGAACTAAAAATGATATAAACTTTTAGAAAAAATAATATAAAAAGTAAAGAATAATTTCAGAAAAATAAGAATGATGTTTTTATAGAGCAAATAACAATAATATAAGTCTTTGGAAAAGTAAATAATAATAATAATAATTTATGAAAATAAGACAATAAAACTTTTTATAAAAAATTATAAAAGTAATTAGAAATTTTGAAAAAAATAGTAATAAATTACTTTAATTTTAGAGAAGTAAAAATGAGTTTTTTGGAAAAATAATGAACAATTTTAGAAAAGCAATGACTTTTTAGATAATAATAAACATTTTAGAGAAAGAAAAATAATAATTTTAGGCAAATAATGATAAATAATTTTTTAGATAATAAAAAATTATTTTAGCAAAAAATTATAATATAACTTTTTAGATAATAATAATTGAAAAAATAAATAAAAATAATATAACTTCTTCTAAACATAATAAAAATAATGAATAATTTAGAGAAATAATAATAATTAACATTTTAGAGAAAGAAAAATTATAGTTTTAGGAAAATAATAAATAATTTTTTAGATAATAATAAATAATTTTAGAAAAGAATTATAATTTAATTTTTAAGATTATAATAATTAAAAAAATAAATAAAAATAATATAACTTTTCTAAAAATAATAAAAATAATGTATAATTAAGAGCAATAATAATAAATAAAAATAATTAAAATTTTAGAGAAAGAAAAATTATTGTTTTAGGAAAATAATAATAAATAATTTTTTAGATAATAAATAACTTTAGATAAATAACTTTAGTAAAGAATTATAGTTTAACTTTTCAGATAATAATTAAAAAAATAAATAAATATATAACTTTTTCTAAAAATAATGAATAATTTTAGAAAAATTGTAATAAATTATAAAATAATAAATAATTGTACAGAAATAAAACTGAGATAACTTTTGGAAAAAATAAAAAATACAAAAAATAAATAATAAACAATAAAGAATATTAAATAATTTTTTAGATAATAATAAAGAATTTTAGATATAATTTCTTTGGAAAAATGATAATGACTACTAATTTTATAAAATATTTATGATATTTATTGTATTCAATTATTACCTATTATCATTCTGATTCAACAGCCCTTCTTTTTCCTCCTTTAGCGTATCGCAAAGCTTCATAAGCCCCTGCGCCTGTTCAACATCACCTCTCGTGCCTGCCGCTTCAGCCTCCCTCACCAACTGTGCAATCTTATCGGTCAACATATTGATCTGATCCTGATTGCGTTTAGTTTGTGCCGGGGTGATCTTTTCACCATCGGATTTATTCATGAGAGCCAATCTTTGTCTGCCTTTGACAATCTTGCGATCAACGTCCCCGATCATGTTTTGACAGAACCTGAGAAATTCGTCTTCGTAGAAGGTTTTTCTGTGGCTTGGTTTAGCGTTTTTGTAGAGTTTTTTGGCTTCTTCGTCGTGGATTTTGGGGCAGAGCCCTAAATCTGCACGGGTGTTTGTGAAGAGGTCGTGGGGGCAGAAACGGACTATGAAGTATTTGCAGTACTAGAAATAAAACAAGGGGGATTAGTGGATGGATGGATAGATTAATTATCTTGTGTCTATTTACCTCGGGGTCCTCCCAATTTAATTCTTTCCTCTTTTCTGTAGGATCGGCGTTTCGATTCCTTCCCATAAGTTCGTCCAAGAGAGCTCGAGCGGCATCACACATGATTAATTAATTTTTTGTTTGTTTTAGTCTTTCACATATATTTTAAAAATCGAATAATTAAACACAATGTTTGTTTAAGGTTTTTTATATTCAGTTCATTGACAATTGTTTGTTTTAAACACATAAATCGATAAAAATATTATCACGACTTTCGCACCAAAAATTATTCTAGCTGACGCATAAACATAGAGGACAAATGACAGATGTCATTTAGATATGACACTTATAAAGGCGAAGCACACAAAATGGACGCCGACATAGAGCTTAGGGTTCTGACACACTACTGTTTTTTAATTTACAACTAATTTTATAAAGTATTTATTCTATTCATTATTTCTATAAACTTAATCATAACTTAATAATTAAACTAGTGGGGTGTATGGCAACGTGCCTTAAGGCAAATTGCTGGAACTTCCCGTACCGTTATGAAATGTTCGAGGAATACTGAATGTTTTCAAATAGATCATTATAAATATTGTAGCATTGTCTAATATTTATAAGAATTATATAAACTGAATTGCAAAGTTGAAATTATTTGTGTAAAGTATATTAGAATTTTAGTCAGAATTAAAAATAAAATCTAAATTATTTTCGATATACAAAAAAAAACATTTTTTTTGAACAAAAAATGTTGAAACAAATTTTTTTTTTTCCAAAATCAATTATTTTGTTAAGACCAGCAGAAAGTTCTTTGAATCATTTAAATCGGACATTTAGCTCCTGCCTGCCTTTGCCAAAAACTAATGAACACTTCTCCCAATCATTACTAATTGAATGTTTTTTTCGATCATTCAATTCGGATGCTCCGTGCTCTCAGAAATTTGATTTCTATTTGCTACACTCTTTGCTCTTTATCTCCGTAACTGCTGAACTTGCCTTTGTCAAAAACTAATCAGCTCATCTCCCTATCAATAGGAATCGAATGTTTTTTGAACCATTCAAATCGGTTGATCCGTGCGCCCGAAAACATGATTGGAAATTTGTATCCATACATACATACACACACACACATCCATTTTTTCTGAGGTATGCCAAAATGTTCAGAAACCTTCAAAACGTCGAGAAATGTGAAAATTTTCAATTTCGATTTTCGGCCCATTACAATACCTTACCCTACGGGAAGTTAGAAATTAAAATAGCAACGTTTGTTAATAAAATATTTTTGAGATGACTAATCTACTAATCCTGCAATTTCATAACGAAAAGCTTTCACGACGTTTGGTTTTTTGTAACCCCTTTGGAACAGCTATTTCTGTTCTATATAAAATAATAAATACTACATTTAACGTAAAAATATCAAATATTTTGTATGAGACAATATTTATCTAAAAAATATAATTTTCTTTTAATTAAATAAGGGATCGTTCAAGTATTACGTAAGCAGATTTATTACAATTATTTACGCCCCCCATCCCCCTTGACAGCAAAAGTAAGCAAAACTCTTACCCACTACCCCCATGCTTACGTAAACATTTTGTAATTAATGTAAAGAAATAAAAATACTACCTATGACGTAATCATTATTCAGACTCCCCTGCCCCCCATGTCAACCCAAAATAAGCAAATCAACAATCTCCCCGCCCCCCCTATAGTGCTTACGTAATACTTGAACGGCCCCTAAGCTGTTGTTTTCAAAATATATAAAGACATTAATCCTTTAAATTTATATTTTATTTTTACTGAAGCGATCATTATATGATATTAAATATATGCATTATATTAATATCTCATGTATCATCTTTCTTGAACCATACATTAATCCTGACGATGTATTCATTCTAATCTTGCATGTTTGGCATCATTACTTATATTAGTTTCATAAAGTCCTGAGATTATTGTGGTAACATTGAAATGTTCATTGGAATCATCAAACGCTTCTATAAAATTTAACAAGCTATCATTGGATAGAAATTCAGTTACATGGTATGTAGAATCTTGGTCCAGAATAATTTTCTTTTCCTTGGCATCTTGATCAGCCACATTTAATATAGTATAAAATTGTATTGTACTTAACTTATTTAACAAATCTGCTCTTTCCACAAACGGTTTCAACTTTTCTGATATGACATCATTATATATAGGATAGCGCATGTAATAATCAAATTTTGCTACTCTTACAGATAATTTATTACTATGTATGTTGAAGTTGTTTGTAACTAATTCATATAGTGGAAGTCTATATTCAATTTCATCTGTTTTCATTTGAAGTATTTCATAATTACAGAAATGTTGATGCCATGATAATAATATGAAAGTAGTTCTACTCCCTTCTTTTAAAGAAGATAAGTCAATAACTTTATTAGAGTTTCTTAATAAAGTAAATTTAACCAACAAATGAGCGCATGCTAGATTACTTTCAGCATAATCTAATAATGATGAACCATCTACCAGGTCTATATCAGCTCCATATTCTAACAGTTCTTTTACTACTCCCAGATCTCTTTTTGCTTTGGGAAAGAAGCTTTTTTCTACAGCATAGCTCAGTGCGGTATGGCCTCCAGAGAATGTTGCATTTACATCAGCTCCGTGTTTCAGAAGCTCTCTGACTAATTCTAATTTCTTCCCTGATGTTATAGCAGTATGTAATGGAGTTTTTCCATACTTATCTTCTGCATTAACTTCAGCACCACCCAACAAAAGCTCTTTGGTGATTTCTACACTACTAGTAGCATGAAGTAACGTTTGTTCTTCCCATCCTATTTTAATATTAGCATCAGCACCTGCAGACAAAAGTGCTTTAACATTTTTTAAGTCATCTTTCAAGACTGCTTCTTCTAATTCTTTGTTAATAATAAACATTTTCATAAAATCCTTCTAAATTTTACTAGTTTGAAACAAAATTTTTATGTATTTTCTAGATCATGGCACCCTCGATAGCTCAAATATATCAAATATTCAAATATTATTGCCTAGGGTAACTTGGTTTGCTTAAGCTTAATTAATATTAATATTAAAATTAAAATTTAAATTAATTAATAATAATATTAATATTAACTAGTTGGTACTGGTGTTTTGCCTTGAGGCAAGTTACATGAACTTCCCGATATGTGTAAATAATCGACTTAATCAACAATAAACAAATTAATTTATGAGCGATTAGAAGTATTCCGAGAAGAAACTTTTTTCCAAATTACAAAAAAACGGCTCGGCTGATCGTCGCACAAAACTGAGAAACGATAATCCTCATCGAGATACATCGATTGGCTTTTAAATTTTTCAAATCTGTCCAGCCGTTTTTGAGAAAACGTCGATTTACGGCAAAAAATCTTGTCTTTTAAAAATGGCGCCTGGATCAGATAAAACCTTGGGCGACAGAAAGCCTAATCCGCCACTGCAATTAATATAATTAAATCTCATTTCGTAGGCCTATAATATTTTATATTTTTTTTAATATTTAATTTAATTACGCCCTCTATATTAATTTAATTTAATAAAGAAACCTAGTGCAAGTGGAACTTATCAACTAACTAAACCAATTTAGCAAAGCTTTCACCCATATATTAGTTTCGAGATTAGTCGCTTCTGGCGCTGATAGGATATATACTTTAAAATTTATTATTATATTATAATAATATAAATAAAGATTATTTATGAATTTGATATACTTTGCCTTCAATAAAAATTAACAATTATAAATATATCCAATTAGATATAAATGTTTATATAATTAATAATTAATAATTAATAAAAAACATGAAACATAGTTTATAATATATATTTAATTTTCGTTTTTTAAACTTTTTAATATAACATCGATTTGGTATTTTTATTGGGTATATTTTTTGTCACTTTTTGTATTTTTGCTATTAACGTCATTTTCATCATTGGGTCGTTTACATAAAAGCATTTACAACAATTACAAGATTAATATTTATAATATTATTTCACTATAGTTTACAGGTGATTTCCAAGTTTGTAAATAATTAAAAAAAATAATATCAAAAACAAGTAGTAGTATTTACAAGACAATTTGAAATTTATAAAATACTATGATGTGTATTTTCACAATTACTGCAATTAAAAACAAAGGTGATAGTTATTAACGTAACAGCTACGTAACATAACAGTAACTTTGTATTACTGATGCGTAAGTAACATGAACGTAACAAGTGCTTAACATGTTACCTAACTTTTAAAAATTTAATTTTAAATGGATTAGAATATATCGTTCCTAATTAAACATTATTTACAAACTTGATAATCACATTGATATTTGTTTTTATTTTGTTACATTAATGCTGGATATTCCTATCATATATATTACATTTAATATAAATTTGCTGTACAATAAAATAAATAAATAATAATTTAGAAAATTTTAGTATTTAAATTAAATATAAAATGTCTTAAGAAACAAATGGTTCGTACACAAAAATCTTTGTGAGAAGACTTTAGTTTGTCTTTAAAACATTTTTTATATTAAAACATAATAAATTACTTTTATAATATTATATACATATGATTTATATATAATTACAATATATTAATAATTATATATGTTACAATATATTTATTTATATTTACACAAAAAGCCTTTTTTACTTGGAATAGTTTTGCTATCACAGTTTCGATTAGCCGAGGCTTCATAACTCTTCCACAACATGGATAAAAAAATATAAGATTAAAAAAGACTCTTAGGCCATGTAGCAAACACGTATCTTTGATATTAATTTCTCAATTATTACGTAACTTTAATGTAACATTTGTTGCAGGTAAATTTTCGTCATTGTTTTAAAAATGTAGCAGTAAGATATCTTTAACGTTAATTAGTCAATTATTACGTAACTGTAACGTGGCATTTGTTACAGTTACGTTTTCATAACTGTTTTAAAAATGTAGAAGAAAGGTATCTTTACGTCAATTTCTCAATTATTACGTATTTGTAACGTAACATTTGTTGCAGTTAAATTTTCATCACTGTTTTAAGAGTGTAGCAATGAGGTATCTTTAACGTTAACTTCTCAATTGTTACGTAACTGTAACGTAACATTTGTTAGTGTTAAATTTTAATTACTGTTTTAAAAATGTAGCAGTAAGGTATCTTTAACGTTAATTTCTCAATTATTACGTAAGTGTAACGTAACATTTGTTACACTTAAATTTTCATGACTGTTTTAACAATGTAGCAGTAAGGTATCTTCAACGTTGATTT